ATCTCATTAGCTTAGCTCTCTCTAAGTTATTGAAATTAGCTCTCTTAACGTCCAAGACACTAGGTTGACTTTGTTCTACTACTTGTGTTTGCATAATGTTGAGTTCCAATATTGCATGGCCACTTGCCCCCAGGGTTCCTGTGGCTTCAACACCTTCTATCATTTCCTCTCTGTTAGTGAGAATTAAATTTAATATGGCTGATCCCCATGTTCCCTTCTCTACTTTTTGGGAAACAAAGTTGTCTGCTAGGTTCGTTAGGAACCTGTTGGATCTTCCACTTGGTGCAGAGTTTGTTTCCCAATTAATGTCAGGGTAGTTAAAATCCCCCATTACTATTGTGGTGTACTTCCTACATATTTAGTTAGCTGACTAGCAAAAAGTTCATCTACTTCCTCTGCCTGGTTGGGTGGCCTGTAGTATAGACCTATGGTAATGTCATCCCCCGCACAACCTTTAATATTGACCCAAGTGCATTCAAGATAGTTCTCATTCTTTTTTCTTTGATATAGTATTTTCCCGTCATTCCACCAAATTTTTTTCCTTCCCTGTCCCAGAGGTAGGTTCCTACCAGTTCAGACCAGTTTGGCTGAGTAGGTAGTAACTCGGCCTGCCACACCCTCGAAACAGTTCTATCGTTGGTGCCGCCATCTTGATTTTCGGTTCTGCACATGCACACAACAATCTTCATTGCAATTTTTTTCCTTTTCTAATGTTGTGCGCATGCGCAGACCTTTTAAGGTACTTTTTAGGTGTTTGGCATATGCGTGAACAAAGCGTGCATGTGCGCACACAAAATATTTTGTGCGCCGAACTGGCAGTAATGCCAGCAGCAACCCACCCCTACCCTGTCCCCAAAATGAGCTTCATATTATCTTTGAAATGAGACAAGACCATGGCACATAGCAGCTAGTTATCTCTTTTAAAACTTTCTTGTTTGCCCAATTCTCAGACTTCTTCCGAAAGTCAGCTTATGGTGTCCGCCCAACAGAGGTAGCAGAAGAAATTCTACGGACCGTGAACCGGAAGAAGCAGGAAGTGTTCATGGCAAACCCCATCGCAAAGGCAGCTGTTTATATTCGCACTTTCTTCCCAGAGATATTTTTTGCTGTGGTTGCTGCTGGAGTGAAAGAAAAACAGAAAATTGAAGTTGAAAACTGATCACATCAAGTTCATCTCCCTTGGTAAAAGGGTTATGCCAATTCTCTCTCGCAGAAGCTAGAGAGAGGCATCTTGGAAGTATGTTGTATGAATCCAAATGAAACAAACAAAAAACCAAAAAAAAAAAAAAAAACAACCCAAAGTTATGTTTAAGGATCTGGAGGCAGTGGAATAGGATATGGCTTTTTCATCTATCATTAAAAGTGCACTACTGGGCTATGAAAGAGAGCAAAAGACATTTTTTTCAGGGTGCCAAGTGAGTCATCTGAAATGGGGCCACTAGTTTCCTGGACAATTTCAAGAGACTTAATAGAAAGCATGAATTGTCTGCGTATTGGGTGAAGTGTTCAGAAAAGGCGTGAAGATCAAGAGAATTGTAGACTAATATTGGAAATTGAGGAATTTCAGGAATAGGGGAGAATTTGAGTGATGGACATGTGGAAAAGAAAGAGAGAGTGTAGGAAGAATATGAGGTTCTGGTTTCACACCAGAGTGCATGGATCTTAGAAAGGAGATTGGTTTGACATTTGGGAAATTCTCACAGGAAACAGAAAAAGGGTTCATAGCCTTTGCCTTTTTGTGTGGTTAACTGAACCTTTCAAATCAGCAGTAATGCTTGGTTTTTATAGCTTTTAGTTCTGAAAAATTAAGCAAATGCCTGGAGTGGGTATGAAACATTCCATGTTTCAAAATATTGCATTGCTTTCATTCCACATGGGTAGATATGTCCAGTTTGGGGCAACTGCATCACTTTTTTAAAAATACATGTCCTCAAGATAGTGGTGGGGAGCATATGATGAAATGCTTATCATGATGCTATGACACACATTTCATGGTTTACCTACTGGTGTCAGGTAAGACACCAGAACACAAATGTATAAGAACAGATTATGTCAGCATGTGTGTGTTGTCATTTTTATATAACCTTGACTTGTTGCAGACAAAGCACCAACCACCACTGGTAGATTCATGTCTTTGATGAATATTGACACTGATCTTCTCACACTGCCTCCTTCTCCTCATGCAATGCTACAGGTTCACAGAAATCTCATAATGTAAAGACATTACAGCTCTAAAAACAAAAATATTTTTTGTTTAACAGTTTTATCTTTGCTGTGCCATTATAGTAATAGTACAAAGGCGACAGCAACACTCAAATTATCTCAGAAAGGTACTCCACCTTGAATTTGGAATTAGGGACAGGCATCACAAATTCCAAGTCTTTTCTAATGTTTCAAACTAGAATAGATTGTGAGTGGATATTCTGAGGAGGCTAGTCATAAATTCAGTACATTGCTAAGCCTCCAACATCTATATTGATGCATACTATCTATATTGGTTATACTTATGAGGTGGTATGAAATTTTATCGATCAGATGATCAAACTATGCAGTTTATTGGGTTTTACATTCTCAAGTGATATTTGTTGTGCTGCCCCCCACACCTGGACTGCAAAAAGGGGGGCAAAGGCACTAAGCTAGAAACAAGGAGGCTGTAAATTCTACTTTGGCCTTAGCCATGAAAGCTGACTTTAGTCCAGCCACTCTCTCTCAGTCCAACCACCTCTCAAGGTTATTGTGGGAAAATAGGAAGATGAAAGAGTATTGTGTATGTTGACCATCTTGAGTTACTTATAAAGTAATAAAGACAGGATTTTTAAAAAATTGAATAAATAAAATCAAGATGAACACTAGAAATCCACAAAGTATTAGTGTTTGCTACATGTCTTTGTTGCCATCTAGTGGTCTTTAGAATTTTTGGAGCCCAATTGGAATATTCCTGCAGCATACAATGTGTTCTGGGTCTGGCTTGACTCAAAATAATTGTTCCCCACATAAGCCTGCTATTTCCCCTTCTGCCCCACCCCCACCCCACCATTCAAACAACTCTTGTCATTCGCAGGCAGCATGGCCCATAGTAGCTCCAATGGGGTGATCATGCAGGAAGTTAAGTTAGGTTAGAGGAAGCTTGAGACTGAGATAAAAACAGTAAAAAAATGAAGGTAGATGAGTGAAGTTAATCAAGAGGTTTATAAAGAGAGACAGCATTTTTTAAAAAACTGGAGAAAATTGGCATTAACTTGGTTATATTTTATATAGCAAATCTATGGGAGGTTCATCTTAAAATACCCAGGTTGGGAAAAGTGGTCTATTCACCATAGAAATGAGAATGCTTATATTCTTACTATCTGAATATGTTTTGTAGAAAGACTATGCACACTTCTGCGAGTGTGAGGAAGTCCATTGTTACTGAAAAAGTATGGGAAGTGAGTGAGAGAAAATTTATTCTTTGTGAAAGTGCTGCATATGTGCCCAAATGAGAGAGAGGGGCGCTGAACTGAAAGATGGCTGCTGTTAGGCTTTTATTTGGTGCAATGTCTTGTGATGTTGGCTCCGGAAGAGTTTCACCTTTGGGAGATGTGTTCAATCTTTCTCTGTTCCACTGCCTGTTTATTTCTCTTCCAATCACCACTTGACATTTTGTTATTCTCATCAATAAAAACAATTGAAAACACATTCACTGATTTAGAAACAGCCATGAGGGAAACAGTGGATTAGCAAACTTAAAGTTGTGATCCCTTTTCTTCCACATTTCAGGGCCAACAATCTTGCCTTGGGGTGATATAAATAAAACTTCTGTTTGAATAATGTCTGTGAGTTCCTTTTTCTGCTCTGAGTTGCATTTCTGCTATTGTCATGCAAATTTGGTTGCTGCTAGTACAATGTCTCAGGGGTGTTTTATTTTACTTTCCTCTTTTAAACTGAGTAGGTCTAACATAGTAAAAAAAATAAATGGTTAAGACTGGAGCTAATCTAAGCTCTAAAGGGCTGCCATACCGGAGCTTAGATTATGAGCTCTACTAAAGAAAATTAGTCTCTGAAACCCAACCTGCCCCCTCCAATTCCTAAACATGGGTAACCTAACCATCAGCTGTAAGATCAAATTGGCTGGGGTAATTTTAATGGGCAAATAGAGTCCTGAAAGTAACTTGAGCCAAGCAATAAAAACCTTTAAAGGTTAAGCCTACAGAAAGCCAATGCAGAGCCCATAACTGTAATATATTTCCACTGGTGAACCCTGGATTGTATATAGGCTGCTGCATTTTGAATCAATTGAAACTTCCAAGTGATTTTTAAAGGTGGGCCCATGTTGAATGCACTGCAGCAGTCTAAGTAACCTGTAAAGAAAACCTGATTCACTGTAGTTAGGGCTTCAACTGGAGTCAGGTAAAGGCCCTGTTAACCATGCCTTCTACCTGTTATTTCAGCAAAAACTACAATTCAGATAGATCCCCAAACCATAAAGCTTCTAGTCCATGGGTCATGCTACCATATTTAGCTACCCAAGAGCACCAATGGGCAAATTATAACACCAAACTTGCTAGCATTTAATTTTAGATTGTATTCTTACATTCAAACCTTCACAGCTTCTAGACACCAAGACCTCAAGAGTGCAACCATATGACTCAAGTAAAGATGTAAAACTGAGTATCATCAGCATACTGACGGAATTGAACCTTAAAATGACAGGTGATACCTTCCAGTTACTTTATGTAGATATTAAATAGTCGTGGGGAGAAGACCAACCCCTGCAGTACTACAGGGGAACAACTATCTAGCCAACATCCNTGACCTGAGATAATAGATAGTTTAAGAAATACTTAAGGGACTTGTGGACAGTCTATCCACAAGTCCAGTTGTACAAAATGTCCTTCTCCCACCAATGAATCAAATTTTACAAAAATCTGGCAAATGTATTGTTCTTACTAAATACAAATCAAGGTAGGGAAATAGATTACCTTGGTTTTATATTCCCTTCCACCAAACAGCACTCTCTGACGTTTGGTGGGAGGGAATCCTCCTCCTTAATATGGGATAAGATAAATGATTGCAAGCAGATGCTTGGAATGGCAGGTTTAGCCACCTGTCAGATTACTCAATTGGTAGACTCTGGGAAGGACATGGAGAGAAACAGGAGGGAGATTAGATGAAGCTCCTGGTAAGAACAGCTCCTCCTCCAAACCTCAGAACCATCAGATGAGGAACCAAGAAGACCAATATTGAGTTTATGGCCGATAGCCTCAAAGAAGGAGCCAATGAGATGTTGTGATTGACCAGTACATAACAACAGTCATTACTCTGACATCTAGCTTTATCCAATAGAATGGAACAGAAAAATACCATCACACTCCCCTCAGGTATTACAAATAACAATGGTAAACTGCACGAACACTGCAAATACAATTGTATAATATTGGCTCTAGAGACACTGAATGATCAGATGATAGTCCCAGTAGTTGTGTATAGGTCCTCAGGAATAAAAGTAGTGAATATAGTAAAAAACACCACCACCATGTGAACCAGCAATATCCAGATGACAGAAGCCTGTCTGTCACCTGCTTTACACTGACCTTCTATGTAGCAAAGGGCTAGCACCTTTTTAAAGCATTGTTTATGTATTCCAAGACTCAGGTTGAGCATTCTTTCAGGAAGTGCTAAACCTGCGTTGTAAGGAGCCAGCATAAGACATGACAAGTGCTGCAGCAAGCCTTGGTTCAGCCTTATGGAGTAAAATATTTTGTGGAAGCCAGGCTTCGAGCCTCTTCAGCAGCCTAAGCCAAAAGAGGCATGGAAGGTAATTTCCAGCAACAAGAAGGGGAGGGGGACGCTGCCTGAAGCAGCACAAAGAAGCCAACGAGAACCAGGCAGATCCCAACTGCTCACCACATCACCAACCATATCACCATATCACAAAAACTGTTTAGGAAGACAAAAGAAAACACGATTCTGAAAACTTGTACAGTTAAAGATAACATTAAACTACCTCAGATATGGGCTGCAGATGAAAGGGAAGTGGGGGGAAGCAATTACCAAGGTATATTCATGGCATGAAGAAAATGAGGAAGCACCTAGAATAAGCATGTTTTGTAACAAAATGACCTATATTTTATTTTATTATTTTCTTAGTTTAGGTCTGTGATGGCGAACCTATGGCACGCATGCCCCAGGTGGCATGCAAAGCCATATTTGGTGGCACGCCAGCCACCAGCTGATTTTTCACTCTTCCAGAGGGCCGGGGAGGCCATTTGCATCCTCCCCAGACTT